CACGCTGTACAGCCGACACCTCATCCTTGCCTACGCTATTTATCTGGTTTGTAGCTGCTCTCAGAGAGCCATAAAAAGCACACAATTACTGGGGAAAGAAAAGGGCAGCTGCTCCTCTCCTCCCCCTCAGCTCAAGCGAATTGGCATGCTCCTATTCCCAGAAAGGTAATATAGCCCGCGAAGCTCAACTTCCAGGGCAATCATTTATGAAAATATGGCAGGGTGGGCTTGGGGGCGAAAAAAGAAGGAGGAGATGCACAGGGAAGGCTGGGTGCCTGCAGCCCTCCCAAGCCCCTCACCATGCCAGCAGGGAAAGGCACCTCCAACCCCGTGCCTTGTGACTCCAAAACTGCCATGAAGCACATGGGGACTCTGATTTCCCGGAGGCAAATCCTCTGGTTTGCACACTTTTCACCCAAGTCACACTGCACCAGCCCCTGAGTGCCCTGGCAGCACTGCTCTTCCCAAGTCCTGCTGCTTCTCACCAGGGTACCAGGATAGGTTTTCAAAAAATTTAAAATACTAGGTACAAGCAGCATTTCTCACACTAACCACAGTGCTAACAGCAAGAAAAAGTGTCAAAGCCTCGATGAAGTTTCCCCTTTCACAACTTGCTTGCTTTAGTCTTGCCTCGAACAGCGAGAAGTGCTCTGAGACTTTTGGTTTAGTCAACATCTGGTATCCATGAGCTTTCGGAGCGCCGACACTGCAAGCTCAGGGTGGCTGAAGACCAGGCTGGGTGCTCCATGCCTCACCACAGAGCTGGGGCAGGGGCTGGAAGGGGCGGCGAGCCTCACCTGTGTGCCTGCGGTCTGCTGGGGCAGGATGCGGAGGAAATCCTCGGGGAGGTTGCCCAGGAGCGGTGGGTTCCAGTTCCTGTAGCGCCTGGTCACCGGGGTGCTGCCGGGCCCCAGCACATCCGTCCTGCGGGGCAAACATAGAGAGCGTCTTTGGCAAGGGAGAAACCTGCCGACGTCTGCCGCAGCAGCAGGGTGCAGGGTCTGGCACGGAGGCCGCTCCACCGGGGGTCCTGGGAACCAAAAAACCACAGCACGCCTCCCAGACCCACAGTGTTAGATCTGGAGTGCAAAAAGCTTTGGGAGCTGCTTTTCAAGTCTGAAGGCTGGATTTCCCTCCTCCTCCCTGTTTTGCACAGACTCCCAGAAAACAGCCCTGTGGGAGCCCTAGCATTGCAGGATTTTGCTTACGAAGCTGACAAACCTCTCTCACTGGATGGTTTCTTGCACAGCCGGCAGCGTCTCCCTCCGAGGTGGCCAGCACAGAGGTGGCCAGGGCCCTGGCCAGCGCTTGCTTTCCCACAAACCCCAAGCTGAGGTGGTGCTACCAGAGGAAAGCCCGCACGCCACGAGGCCAGAGACCCCTGAGACACAGCAACCCAGCAGCAGCAAGAGCCCGATGCGCAGGGCCCCGGCTGCCCAGCACCTGGTGTTTTCGAGCAGAGGCGAGTGCTCCCCGCCTCCAGTAGCTGATTTTTGCCATTCCACATGCTGCTGGAGCAGCTTTCTGGGCTCTTCAGCTGTTCAGTCTTAGGGCCTCACAGGGATTTTTGAGCCAGCTGTGAGCTTCATTCATCTCCCTTGGCTTCGTCTCACCCAGTCCTAACGAACTGACGCCAGATGCCCTTTGCCAGGACCAGCTAACATGCAGCAAGACCCCCCCAGTGCAGGTACAGGGTGCAGTACTGGCCACCACGAGCAGAAGGCACAGTGCAGGCGCTGGGCTGGGGGCTCACCTGGGCGGTGGGGTGGGTGGCGCGCGAGGGTAGGGGCTGCCAAACGTCTGGCTTTCGTAGGCGGGAGGAGAGTAGACAGGAGGGGGCTCCTCATCCGAGCTGTCCGGCTCCAGGGTGCGCTCCAAGATCTGCAGGGCGAAAGGATGGGGTGAGGGCGAGCTGGGGAAACGCTCCCCACTGGGCTGGGCCCCTCCCTGCGTGTGGCAGCGAAGCGGGGACGGGACCGGCTGAACGCCGCTGCAGAGAGGATGAGGGCAGCCTCCTGGCACCAGACCCCTGCGTCAGGGAGGCTTTTGACAGGGTTTGGTGGTGCTGCTCTTGAGGGATGAGGCACCGCATTTCAGGCAGGCAGCCCTCAGGGACCCTCTGACATCAGCAGGAGGGTCTCTGCTGGGTTTTGCAATGGGAGTGAGGGAGGAGAGCGCTTTGGCTTGAGCCTCAAGCACTGTCCAAGACAAACCAGTCAGGCTGCACGCTCCAGATCAGCCGAATCGGGCACTCCAATCTCTGCCTGCCCGCAGCAGCTGAGCACCAAGCCTGGGCAGAAACCAGGCAGGATGAGACTGAGCTGCCCACTCGTGACAAGCCAGAAGTCCAGGCAAGGGACCCTCACCCCCAGCAACGTGCCA